AGAGAGAGAGAGAGAGAGAGAGAGAGAGAGAGAGAGAGAGAGAGAGAGAGAGAGAGAGAGAAACGGATCCCCTTCACACGTATCAGGGGCCCATGAAGGGTCCTCGCAGCAATTTAGCGCAGACCCTCCACCAAAATCGAGGCAGGCAGTGAATATGAAGTGAAGCACGAGCTGGCCGAATATATATACTCAGGATTCAAATTCAGGTCTATGTTTCAGCAGTTATGGGTTGCTCACTTAGCTGGGCCCTGTTGGGCTCTGCACATGATTCTCAGGGCTTGGCTGCACTACTCACCACATGTGCAAAATTAGAATGAATCTTCTGCTAGAACGTGGAATAATACGCCGCCATATGTTTTGTCTTTTGTTCCATGTGGTGAGTAGAGGCCCTTAGGGCCACTGCACTTATTCCTAAGAAAAGAAAAACGAGAAAAAAGAGAATTAGTGACTCATAACCGCGATGCACAGACGTGAATTCGAATCCAGACTATACATTCTTGGCCCACGCATACAAACTGGAAGTCTAAAGTCTATCTCTGCTCCACGTGGGGCCCTCACTAATTCGCTGTAGGGGCCCTTTGGAAAAGACACTGGACACAATTAGGACATGCACACCCACACGCACAGACATATGCCCACAGTTTTGGGGTATGGCGTGGCCCTGACTCTTTCCCCTCTTGCTTTCTGATTTTTAGAAGCGAGGGGCATGTTTGGCCACCCCACCCTGTCCTTTCGCTTTTTTTTTTTTTTTTGGTGACGCGCCGCATCACGTGCGCGCGCATGCACGTGCGGGCGCTCTGCGCCGCATGTGCCGCGACCCCGCACATGGGTTGCGCCGCAAGTTGATCCATTTCTTTACTTTTTTCCCTCGTTTCTTTTTATTGATGCGGCACGATGCACCACGGATCAGTTCTAGACATGGGTTGCGCCGCAAGTTTCTTTCCGCACATGGGTTGCGCCGCAAGTTTCTTTTACTATTTTTACCCAAAAGGCCGAGAAAGGTATCCAGTTCTAGACTCAGTTCTTTGAACTTCTTTCCGATACAGGAAAGCGGAAGACAAAAAAAAACCATTTTTATTGGAGGATACTGAGGATGTATCTTTCCCAGGGGTCGAACATGACCAAGGCCAGAGTGCAGTTGTACTGATAAAACTTGACGTTCAAATAGTGAAGTGCCCGAACAAAAATGTTTGCACGTGCAAGCTCTTCCGCTTTCCGCCGCCGCTCCCGGTTATCCTGTCCATACATTACATGTAATAAATTCCAACAAAAAAGGTTAAATTGGCACATACCCCTGACAAAGAATGAAACTGTGCAAGAAGATTGCTCGTCAGGCTATCCTGACAAACCTCACAAGTTCTGTTCAAAAGGTTTTCTTTACCCGACTGGGTGGGTTGGGGGAGCGGGTGGGAGGGGAGAGGAGGAGGAGGAGGAGGGGGCATTATCAAAGACGGGCATTAGAAAACATAGATTAAAAAAAAGAAGCAAAGCGTCCTTTAACTACCTCTCCACGAGCAAGGCCACCACGACCAAATTTGGGCAAGCACATAAGCGCAGCAACACATTCGGTAACTACCTCTCCATGAGCAAGGCCACCACGACCAAATTTGAGCAAGCACATATGCGCAGCAACACATCCTGAAGCCGTTGAGAGAACTTTCTCAATACAATGCAATGCTGTGTGCCGTTGTTGACCATCTCTCCATGAACAGGACTGTCAGATCAACTTTTGGTAAAGCATGTAGCTGAACACACTTAAAAAGAGAAAAAAAAAACAGCAAAGAAAAAGAAAAAGAAAAAGAAAAAGAAATAGAGAAAAGAAAAAGAAAAAGAAAAAGAAAAAAAAGAAAAAAAAAAAGAAAAAGAAGAACGAAAAGATAAAGAAAATATTGCATTGGTGTTGGACACACTTCCCTATGCGGCGTATGCGCTGCTGCGCTGGGACAGCACAATACAATGGAATTGGGATCTTAACTTCTTTTGTTTTATTTCCTTCTTGTTATTCAAACCAAACTTCCCTGAGGAGTCTATGCACCGCTGTGATGGCACAGCAAGAACTATCACGAAGATGATCGGACAATTTCAGACAGTTCCTGTGGGGCTATAACTACGGGAAAGCGTGCCTATGATGAATCTCCTTTTTTTTGGTTTAGTCAGCTGGTCAAAGCAGTACTACCACCCAAAACAGAAACTTAATTTCTTCTTTTTCAAATCAACGACTCGTTAAAAGATCATGCCAATCAGGACCATTCATCACTGGAAGGATAGATCAGCCAACTTCGAATGCGCGCATCATGATTTCAGAACAGCGAAACGTTGCGCTGCTCGTAGACTTTCTTAGTTTCCGCTCGATAGCCATATCGCTCATTAATTGCTTTATCCATCCATCACTTACCCATCCCTTCCTCCCTCCCTCCCTCCCTCCATCCATCCATTCATCAGTTAAAAACGGATACACAATGGAAAAAGAGACGGAGAGAGACAGAGAGAAGCACATCACTTTCTTTTTTTTCTTTTTTTTGCATCCACCGGGGTATACTGTCCCGGGTGATAATAGCAGCCCCGGAAAGTACCCGCCCTGCAGATGGCTCCTTTCTACTGGTGGGGAGCAGCAGCTGCTGGAAACTGGGTCCAACGTCCTATCTGAAGAACAATTACAATTCTAAAAACACCAGGGCAGAGAAGCATGTCACTAACAGATAGCTAAGCAAACTCTAGACTTTCGGCAACCAACGTCAAACACCGCAAACTGATGACACAACTTGATCCCATGCTTGATACCACATCTCCTTATCTCATACTTCTTCCCCTCGCCAGCCTAACGCATCATCTAAACCGTAAGGAATCTCGCCAGACTAACCACCGATTATCTGATCCGACCGATGTGCACGATGTACACAATCATTCAGAATTGAGAGTTGTAATATCGTATTAGATCGAGAAATGCTTGACAGACTGACCACCCGACAATCCTATGCATTCGATTGATGTACAATCGGTTGCAATCAAGAGTCGTAATACCGTATTAGATCGAGATGTCATTTCGCATCCTGTTCCCAAGTGGCTATTTCTGCCTCTTTTCTAAATTCACTCCAAGGTGCAGACTAACCACCGATAATCCTAGAATCGTTTGCAACTTTGCAATCGAGAGTTGAAATATCGTGTTAGATCGAGATGAGATGTCGTTTCGCCTCCTATTCCCGATTGGCTATTTCCGCATCTTTTCTAAATTCAGCCCTAGGAGCAGACTAACCATCGATAATCCTAATCCAGTGCAATCGATCTATGTAGAATCGTTTGCAATCGACGAACCATCGATAACCCTAATCAAGTGCAATCGATCAGCGTAGAATTGCTTGCAGTCGAGAGTTGTAATATCGTGTTCGATCAAGATGAGATGTTGTTTTGCCTCTTGTTCCCAATTGGCTATTTCTGCCTCTTTTTTAAATTCACTCCTAGGTGCAGACGCATCACCAATAACCCTAATCCAGTGCAATCGATCTACGTACAATCGCTCGCAATCGAGAGTTGTAATATCGTATTAGATTGAGATGAGATGTCGTTTCGCCTCTTGTTCCTAATTGGCTATTCTGCCTTTTTTTTCATTCACTCCTAGGTGCAGACTCACCACCAATAATCCTAATCCAGTGCAATCGATCGACGTACAATCGCTTGCAATCGAGAGCTGTAATATCGTATTAGATCAATGTTATGAACTTGGTTGTCTGGCGATTTTGACCGCCACTCACACACAGACAATCTCATACACGCCCATACATGCATAAGAGAAGGGGGAGAGGAGACAAAGTCCAAACTGCACACAGATCAGAGTAGATAGCGAAAACACAACCATGCACAGATGGGGAGAAGGCACACGGTGTTTCTCACTCTCTGACAATACACCCAACAACCAATCACAAGGAAGAACCTGCGAGGATAACAACTGGAATACATACTGATGATGAGCCAATTAACAAGGAATCGTTACAAAGTTTGTTCCAGTATCTCGCCACTCTCAGAACCTCACACTCCACTCTCTACCCTACACCCAGTTAGTAGCGCCACATCAGAATGGCCTCCCAGAGGCCAGCGTCAACCACCCAGATGAAGAACAGATCCAACAATGAAGTCTTCAGTGCCACTGAACAACTCTGACGAAGAATCGGCAGCTATGGCTGCCGCCACCCACAAGGACTCAGTGAAGAGTCTCCACATAACCCAGCCACTCGCAGGAACCCACAGGGGTTGATGCGCAGAGGATGCCCCAACTATGGCAAGTCCCCAACAGGCTGGCTATGGCTGCTGTCCGCGGGGAGGGTCTCAGGGTACCGCCTGCAGACAATCGCCGCTCCAAAACTCTCCT